AATCGATTGATGTTGACATCACCTCCACTGTTGTATATTACTATTATGGTAGCAACTTTCATTGTAGCAAAGATCAATAAAGGATCTCCACTTTGATTCCATGTTAACTTAAAGAGTTTTTCTAGAAGAATTATTCATGCCATCTTTATTTCTGATATAGAGTATACATACATATTATTGTACAACTCTACTAGTTGTCTTTGGAAAGAAATCAACTATTATCCCATGACAATCAGGATGTACATAAATAAGAGATATTATTAAATATGACAGCTATAGTTTCCTGATATATAAATTTGTACAACTCAGGCTAACAACGAAGTCCATTACTTTATCTAATTAAAATTAAATGTTGGATGATAATTGTTTGTTGTTTGCTCCACAACTTCATTAGAATATACATGCCCATACATAGACCCAAAGAAATTCACTCTAATGTCGTTTGATGATATGACACATGGTGATAATATTCAACTGTGTAGTCATGTAAAGAATGGACAAAATGAAGAGATAGCTTAGCTAAACAAACGTTTGATCAATGTAGAGCTCGCTAAATTGATTATAAAATTAGGCTTAGAATGTCTGCTTTTGTTATGATCTCTGCTAGTGTTTTATTAGTTCATACGAGAACCAATTCCATTTTGTTTTGTTAATGAGTAAAGTTATAATTAACTATGGATTTTTTTATTCCCATTAAATGTTATTTTTTTAATTCTTATTTGCCATATAATTTATGTCTAAGTTATATTAAATTTTTAAAAGAATTTTGCTTTTTTCAATAAGCAAAATTAAAATTTTTGAATGCTGTTGGCAATGGCAAGACACCTTTAACCATGTCCTTTAACCATGAATGCAACTTGTATGAATTGAATAATATAATAAACAATCCAAAAAGTTAAGGAAGTTTACAAATAATATTAGGAGTAGAAGCAAAAATCAAACATAAAATTCAAGTCATACACTTAGCTAATACATTATAGGAGATAAAAAGTCATTAATGACCCCAATATATGGATACTTTCATTCTTTTAGTATTTGGATTATTATTACAAATTTTATTATTATTACAAATTTTGTTGATAAAATAATATGTACTATGTAAAAATGAGTTCTCTAAATAAGTTTTGATAATATATCTTTTAAAAAATCTCAAGTCACTTTCATTAAAAGTGACTTGAAATTTTTTTAATTTTTTTAGAATATATATCAACTTCTGATGATTTTAATAAACTTGTTACTAAATCTAGTAGGCATAAAAAATAAAAATAAAACTTTTTTTTGTGATTTTTTAGTATTTTAAATTATGGAAATATTATTTATTTTTTAGAGTTGATCATATGAAAATTAAAAAAATATATTTTTTAAAGTAAAATTTTTATTGTTTTTATAAAGCAAAAACTAATTTATTTAATAGTAAAAAAACCTCACATATAGTTTATAATTTCAAATATTAAATATAAGAGGGTAAAATATGAAAACAAAATTACAAATAGGTCATTTGAGATCATAAAAATTAATTAATTAAAAAATAAAAATTATATTTCTCTAATACTTAAAAAAACAAAAATACAAACCTTCAAATTTTGCTAAAAACACTTTTACCAAATAAATCTTAAAGACCCAAACAAATACAGTCTTAGGCCTTAAAAGGCTTAGTCTATAACGTGGACAAAAAATCAAATCCACGTAAAGCAAACCTAAGCCCACGATGAACGCAGGCTTTGTTCGAACAGAAAAGGGAGCTGGGTTTAAATTAAAGGAAAAAGCGTACAATGGCAGTGAATTATGATGTACAGAAAACTATATCTGTCATGGCAGTAACAGTTTGGTAGGGTTGGTTCCCAAAAGACAGACTTGTTGCTGCTGTCAGGTGCTGTTTCTCGCGGTTGAAGATTCTGCTCCAGTGGCCGTGAAGAAAAGGTGGTTTCCCATGGCATTATTGCTGCTTGGTTTTCTGTGAGGATGAACTGAAACTTCTGCTCTCGGCTTGGAATGGGTTGTTGTTACCGGCTATCAACTCATGCTGCTACTGTCCAGCGTTGATGTTGCTCTGGTGCAAAGGATAGCTAAAGATGCTGGAAAGGGAAACTGCTACTGTTGCTTTAGGTTGACACAAGGCCGCCACTCTGGGCTGAAGAAGTTGCTACCGGTTGACCGGTTGAAGCTGTGTTGGTATTGAAGCTCTGTGGATGAAGAAAATCTTCTACTTCTGCTCACGGTGGAATCAGCTGTTGGTAATTGCTGATGAAGCAAATCCTCTGCTGCTAGTTTTTTGCTACTACCTGTGGCCTTGGACAGCGGAGGAACTGCGGGTCTACTATTACTCATGTTGCTGACCTTGGACAGCAGAGGATCGACTGAAGTTTGCTGCTGCTTACGGTGACTTTGGACAGCTGAGGAACTACTGCTCACGATGCAGATAGCTCGCTGAGAGGATCTGCTCTTGCATAGGAAAGTGAAGAGTGAAGGGGCCGTGGGTCTAGGACGAGAGCTGCTGGTGTTGTGGGTGCAGCTAGTCAGTGCTGATGGAGGGTTAGCTGCTGGATAGTTGATGGCTGGTTGAGGAGCAAAGCTACTGGCCTTGGTGGGCTGCTTACGGTGGAGAAGAAAGATGGAAGTTGGCGTATGGAAGCTTTGATTGAAAACAGAGATTGCTTGTCAAGAGGGGGCTGTAAAAACAATGGAGAAGAACCCAAAATGGAAAGTGTGTGGTGGTGGCTATCAAGAGAAGGTCACGGTGCTGTCTTGGGTGGCAGTTTGATGAGAGGAGATGGCGAGAGGGACAGTTTGAGAGATGATATGCAGCTGGTCACCTATTGCAGCTTGAGTTAGGGTTTTGTGGGATTTTTATAGAAGAAACTTAGAGGTTTTAGGTTTATAGGTTAATGGGATCTAATATTGAGTAATAAATCTCAGTAATTTTTGAAACTAAGAACAAAAGCTTATAGTATTTGTTGGAGAGAATCTGCAGGTTTTTTTAAATGTAATAAGAGCAATTTTAGCTTAGAAATGGGACCGGAAAATAAATACTTAAGACATCGTTTTCTTTTATTTTTTTGAAAAGAAGATGATAAACAGTAAAATTATAGTATTTTTCAATTTGATTTCTAAAACTTTAAAACTTTATAATGATAAACCCTCAATTAGCGCAGCACTAATCTTCTAGATTTCTTGTAATTTCTTTCATTACTTTTTTCAATTAAACCCTTAAATTTCACCGCTTTTTATAAAGTAATTCTTAATCTTAAATTTCTTCAATGTAATCTTTAATTAAATTTTATATTTTAAAATTATTTCCTTTTTTATTATACCAAATTAACATTTTAAAGTTTTAGTCGTGTTCATAACCTTTAAATATTCACAAATTAATTTAAATTACGCTTCCAAACTTTTTAATTGAGTCATTAATTAAATACGTAAAATTTATTATAAGTTTAATTAAATACTTCAATTTAATTATTTTTTTTATTTTTTATCTAATTAACTTTCAAATTTATTTTTTGCTTCAATTAAGTTTTTAAGTAAGTTAATTAAACCTAAAAATTTAAATAAATTCTTAAACTTAGTTAATTCTTCCGGTTTTATTTATGTTTAAATCTCAACTTTAATTTTATGTCTTTTTTTTCATTTCATTTTGTTGAAATCTTTTAATCTAACTATTCTTATAATATTTTAATATTTTGCAGCTCAAAAGCTTATTTTTTTATGTCTCAAAAATATTTCTGAATTTAAATTTTTTATTTTTGAATAAAAAAATATACAAATAATTTTAAAAGATTCAAAATTAGGTTATAACATAATTTAAAATTGTACACTTGAGACCACCGTACTATAACATTTTCTACTCCCAAAACCAATAGGAAAGAACAAATCAAAAAATCAAGTACTCCTCCAAACTCATGGTCGTATATAAATTATGGAACATTTTAAGAAATCCAATTAGTTATTTAGATAACTATAATAATTAAATACATTTTAATATAAGTAGAATGTTAATGGGAGTAGAGAACTTTTAAATTTATAAGATGAGGATTCCTAAGTATCGAAAAGTAAAATAATAATGCGGAGTAAATGTTGAAATTAAAAATCCAGAACCTCCCTCACAATGAATTCAAATATAAAATAAAAAGAAATTTAAAATATTAAAAAGCTCAGAGCTTCCTAGTATCATAGTTGATATAACAATAATAACAAAAAAAAAATGAAATTAAACATTGAGAATACACCTTGTTAAGGATGCATAGGATTTTACAAAAAACTAAAGCAATTGAGTTTATAATCAACAACCACACAAGCAACTTTGTCTTATAAAAAATGTTACATATATTACTTAAAAATTTATATAATCATTAATTTTTAAACTTGTAAAATTAATTAAGATATATACAAGTTAACCTAATATCCATCTTAATAATAATATCCATCTTAATAATAATAAAAAGGATTCTAAATGTCACAACAATGAGAAAAGGACAAGCATTTAGAAAAAGAATAGCCTTAAATTTAATCATAAAAAATAAGTTAAAACATCATGACACCGTAAAGATTTCTTTTTCTTTTTCACATTCAAACACCAAAAAGGCATTACAAAACACACAATTGAAGAAAAAAATAAAGCCAACTAAAGTTTAAATGTAGCGTGAAGGAAAATATTTTAAAAAAAAATGGTTAAAAAAAAAATTTACACATGGAAAACCTGAATTGAGTATCCAAATCAATTGAGTGAGACAACAAAATACAACAATTTGCATGTTCCAAACAAATAAGTGAAAACAAAGTTAAAGGGTAAAACAAAAGATAACTTGTAAACTAAAATGTAAACCTACCTAAATGCCTATCAATGCCTTGTGAAAGAGATAAAAATCAGAGAGACAAATCTCTCATGTCACACCCATCGAAAAGTGAAGGCAGTTAGTGAAGGTTTCACCAAAATCCCTATAATTGTTTAATCTAATATTTAGAAAAACAAAAAACATAAATTGGAAGAAATTTGATTGATGTAGAAAAAATGATGAAAAGTTGTTATTTTAACTTCATACGTTTAAGTTTTGGTTGCTCAGAACAAGCTAATTCATGGAAATAAATGGCAGTCTCTGTGTTGACGAAACAATGTAACCACTTGAGAAGATACATGGTTCGTTATCCCATCACCTCAGGTAAGCTCCATTTGAGACCAGGAGTTCAATAGCCCTTCAGGAAACGCATTTTTTCCATGTAGTTGTTTTGCTTTCTTCAAAGAAAAAGAGCAATTGATAAGAACACTTTGAGTACGAAGTAAACCATACCAGAATCTTGAAGAATCGGTTTCAGGTGAGCATATATGGGTTTGAGACAGAGACATCCACAAGTATAACCGTACTTTGAGAATCTCAGAATTCTAACGTGGTGTCTCCGTGGAAGAGAACTCCGCATCTCATCTTATCATGCTACTGCAAACAATCTTTAGCCTCCATCTCCCAATTCAGTAATCCCAATACCAGGTAAATCTCTTTGCCTCTATGATGCTGTAATTGGTCTGCCGTAAAAGTATATACTTGGTTTTTTACTCCAATCCAACTGCATCCAATCACCTTCTCCACCTTTCCCCTTTTCATGGCTTTCTTAACTCGAACCACACCTTCCCATTGACCCCTTATTTCAAACATCCGAGCCAGTACCAAATAAGGTAGAGATGACTGCGGTTCCAATTCCATCAACCTCTCGGCTACTCTTTCCGAGAGTTTTAGGTCTCCATGAATCAAACAGGCATGAAGTATTGATTCCCAGACTAAAGAAACAGGCTCATAAGGCATTGATTCTGCAACATATAACGCTTCATCAAGCCTACCAGCTTGACACAACAAGTCCACAAAGCAAGCATAATGCTCATTGCTAGGTTTAACCCCGTACCTTTCCTCCATGGATGAAAATATGGTCATTCCTTCAACGATAAAAGCCCCAAAGCTGCAGGCTAACAGAACTCCAGCTAGTGTTATTCGATCTGGTGTCAGACCTCTCCTAAGTAGTTCCTTGAAGGTTTGCAGGGCCTCGAACACCCTACCATTGTGAGTCAAACCCATAATCATGGTATTCCAGGCTATCAAATCTCTCACAATCATCTTATTAAAGATTTTTATAGAACTGTCAATGAAACCAAATTTGCTGTACATCTCCACCAGCGAGCTGGCAACAATAGCATCCAACTCCAAACCTGATTTCACAGCCAAGGAATGGAACTGAGTTCCTTGCTCCAACTTAAGAATGGAAGTGGAGTGTAGAACACTGCTTAGTGTGAACTCGGTAGGCCTAATATCCTTCTTCAAGGTTAGCACAAAAAGTCGGAGACCATCCTCCCGAAACCCACACCGTGCATAGCTTGAAATCATGGAATTGCAAACTGCAGAATCCCACTGATCTTGCTCTTCAAAAAGCCGAACTGAATCCTCCAATCTGTTGCATTTGGAAAACAGGTCAATTGTGGCAGTTGATATAATGGTATTACAAAGAAATCCCACTTTGACACACACAGCAAAAATCTGCTTACCCTTCTCCAAATTTCGCAAATTCAAACAGGAAGTGATCACTACAGAAACTGAAAACTCATCAGGTGCATACCCTAAGGATCTCATTATACAGAACTTATCCAATGCCAGCTCTGGATATCCTGATTTACAACATACCGACATCAACGAATTCCAAGAGATAACATCTAACTCTTCCATTGTCAAAAACACACCAAGAGCATAATCTAAAGAACCAAACTTCCCATACATGTCAATTAAAGAATTTCCGAGCACCACATTCAATGCACCCAAACCACTCCGAACAATGCTAGCATGAATTTCCTTTCCATGTCGAACCCCGAACACCACAAACATTAGAATTGAGTACGTGAACTCACTTGGTCTCACACCCAACTTTTGCATTTCCCAAAAAGTTTCCAATGCACAATCAAAATACCCACGTGAAGCATAGCCTGAAATCATAGAATTCCAACTAACAACATCTCGTTCAGGCATATCATCGAACACGGAACATGCCAAACTCAAATTATCAAACTTCAACAACCCCTTCAAGCATATATTCCAGGATACAGTATTCTTGCTACTTATATCATCAAACACTTTCAAAGCATCACTAACATTGCCAAACTGAGAGTACAAATCAAGGCACCGATTACCTAGAAAAGTATGTCTATTCAACCCAACTTTTATCAACTGGGCTTGAGTAATTCTTGCGAAACTCAAAGACTTCAATGAGAAACAGTGGTCTATGAGGTAGGAGTAATAAGAAAGTGAGGTTCTTGAAACTCTATGACATTGCTTTATTAAAGGGTACATACAAATGCTGGGTGTGGTGAAACATCAAGTGTGTGATTTCTTGCTCCTATTATATAATTTAAAGATAAAATATAATACTTAAATTACAAATAACGTTTTGTGACTGCTTCTCTTCTCTTCTCCGTCTTCTCTTCTCCTCTCCTTCTTGTAATAATTACAAAAATTCTAAAACATGCAGCAAAAACATTGTACATAAAATCTTCATTGCTGCAATGAAATTAATCTTTAGTGTGGGGGTAATTTGATCTATTCTTATGACTTATTAGTTAATTGAAAGATTGTCAGAGCATCTAGTCAAATGGATAGCCAAAAATAAAAAATTAATATTTTGGCTTTTTTTTTTGTTTGTTTTGCACACTCCAATAGAGAAGCCAAATAAAATGCTAAAATGCCTCTTCTTTCCTACAAATGCTATTTCTACATATTTCTTTAAAGAGCCAAAACCAACAAAGTGGGACCACTAAAAAAATAGATCAATTAAATATAGACATGTGAAAAAAAAATAGCATTAAACAATATTAAGAAATAATAAAACACTTATTTTTTTCACTCTAATATAAATGGCTCTTCAAATGGCTTTTTTTCATTGGAATAGATATGGTAAGATAAGCTATATTTATACTATTCAAAATGCTATTTTATCAATTTAGCTTTTCAAAATAGCATTTTGGATTGGAGATGCTCTTAGGGGTGTATATGTTTTTTATAATTTTAATTTTAAAATGATGGAATGATTAAATTACCTTTCAATGTTAAAAAATTTCTGACAGTGTTTCAATCTTCTTCCTTTTTATTCTTTTAAAATAACAATAAACAAACTCTTATTCTCCTAAATTCAATAAAAAATAAGATACACATTAAGTGGTATTTTTACCTTTTCATATTAGTTTATTGTTGATTTCAAAACTAAAGAAAATAATTTGATTTTTTCACTTCATTTATTAATATTTAAATTTAAAAAATTATTGATACGTGTAGTACACATGCCAATACATAAAAGACATGTACATCCTTTAGGTGGTATATTCAGTATCTCCTCGTAACAAAATGTTCATATTAGTCATATTGTTGGAAACATTATTGTGTTTTTTTTCTACTATTGCAGCGCGAGTCGATAATAATAAGGTAGTTTGTCATCGAAAAACCTTTTCTCTTTTTTTCCCTCTCTTCTTCTTAAAAAATTATAGGTCAATCCTCCTTATTTTTCGTATTTCAATTTCAATCATTATTCTTTTTATATTTAATTTTGATTTTTAGTCTTTAAAAAAAATTATTTGTTTTCAATATAATCCTTCAATTCCTATTTTTTTTAATTTAGTCATTTTTTTCCCTAGCTCTTTCGTAATAAATTTATTGTTTTTCAATTTTATCCTTTAATCCAAGTTTTTGGTGTATTACTTTATCTGATTTGGTCTTCATTCTTTTGATTTTTTTTTTTGTTAAATTTATTTTTATTTTTAATTTAACCATCCAATAAAAAAAAAATTGTTTCCATTTAATTTATTTTTTAATTTTGATTTTCACTCTCATTCTTTTAATTACCATTTTCTATTTTAGATCCTTTTCGTAAATTATTAGTTTTTTTATTTTATCCATTAATATTTTATTTTCTAGGGATTGGGCTTCTTGGTTTTTTCATATATGGTTTTTCTATTCTAATAATCTGGATCACGGGTTTAAAAAGTAAACATAGGTTGACATTCTTTTTTTTGGTATTTTTTTATTTTATCATTTGATATTATTTATTTTTTTAAGATTGACTTTATGGTTTTTTAAAAAAAAAACCTAGGCCATGGATTCTTTAGATTAAATCAGGTTGGCTTGCCTCTTATTACTTAGGTTATGTGTTTATCATGCTATATCAGGTCAACTTTAGCCAATTCTTTTTATCATTTTTTTATATACCTTCATAATTTCTAAGATTTATTTTTCAAGTTATCATTATTTAAAAAAATTATATTACCTCATTAAAATAAAATCAATTTATTAAACTTGATTGATGTTATAACCCAAGTCGTTTGCTTTTTTGTCTTTTTAAAACATGCTTATAGCACCTAGACTATTGTTGCCCTTTTTTTTTTCTTGTTTTCCTTATTCTAATTTTAGTTTTTATTTTAATTGATACCTTTTTAATGTCTTGTTTTAAATATTTTTTATTTACATTTTAATTAATATCCATCTTCTATTATTTTTTATTTTACCTATTTAAATTTTTTAATATAGTTTTTTTAATATTTTCTATGTATTTAATTTTTGAATATATTATTTTGATTTATCTATGAATTCTTTTAATATTTTATACTGATGAATTTTATTTTTAAAAATAAAAATATTTTTTTTCAAATAAGATTCTCTAATATATGCGAGTTTGCATAATTTTTTTATTTTATTTAATAAATTTCATTAGTGTGTTTATTTTTTTTATTTTATTAAATAAAAAATAAATTTTAATAAATAAATTTATTAAACAGATAAATAATTTATGTTGTGAGTTCAAATATTATAATTTATAGTTCTCTTAATTTTTCTAGTTTTGTATTTAGTTATTGTCAATTAAATTTTTAATTTACATTTATAATTTTTATGCTAAAAAAACCTATATATTCAATTTGTTTAATAAAAAAATACATTACGCGTAAAGAAAGACGGGTAAACCCAGCGCGCAGGATGCAAAGGCAGAGGTGTGGGGTTCAACGCGAAGGCTTTGAGCGATTTAAGCGAGAATTTCCCTCCACTGCAAGCAAAGCATGCTTTGGGTGTCCTAGGTGTAACTTGTAAGGATAATTAACCAATATATTTTCACCACGTCAGTCTCTTCAAGTTTCATGTTGTTGAGCCAAAATGTAAAGATGTCATGTCATTTGTTTTTTTATCCATTTCACTATTTATTTATTTTATTGTTTTTTATTGTTTTTTATTTTTTTATTTTATTCCTCATGATTTTATTTAATATTTATATTAAATTAATTTATATTCTTTTAATTATTGTTTTCTTTTTACCTTTTTTAATTGAATTTCATTTTTAATTTGATCTCTCAGTGGCATTTTTTATGGAAAACTCTAAAAAAACTAGTTCATTATTTCTCACTGTTCACCAAAACTCTTTCCATTAGTGACACGACTAAAAGATTGATGTCTTCTTCCAAGTGCAAGAATGTCAAAGTAATAAATAACCCAGCAAGACCGGGATCGAACCACAAGGAAGTTAATTGTACAAATTATAAACAACAATTATAAACAATAACTGTAAAAAATAACAATAGTAACAATAACAACAATAATAATAGTAACAATACTAATAATAATAATAATACTAGTAGTGGTGGTGGTGGTGGTGGTGGTGGTAATAATAATAATAATAATAATAATAATAATAAAGAAGAACAAGAAGTTGATGAGAATTTTGAGATGACAGTTCAACGTAAGCAT